TTTCACAACATTTAAAATATCATTTTAATAAATACACTACAACCAATTTACTACTATACCCCTAATACAATAAAAATGAAAAATGAAAAAATATGTGTTGTACTCATCCTCCATTATCTTCTCAACCCTTTCTCAGAAAGCCTAATTTTCAACTATGAATACGGAATACCTCAATGAAGGTAGGTAAGATTCAAGCCATGAAAAATTACAAGAAATCCCAGTTTCTTTATAACTTTATTCTATACTCTCTCACTACTGTTATTTCTTGTTCATTTATGTGTTACCCTTTCTGGGTTCCCCTCCATGAACTACCTTTTTTCAGTTTCTTTTCAAAATATTTTCTCCTTTTTCTTCACCGCCAAGTTTCTTTTCGTGGTTGGAAATATCATAGTCATCATCCTCTTCAGAGAATCTATACAGCCAGTCTCAAATTCATCTCCGGCGATAGAGATTTACGACGAATATGTTGCTCAAATGCGCCGAAGTTACATGGCACCTGCACCGTCCAATTATATGCAAGCAACCAAGAAAAAGGAGTTTCGTGCAGAAAATAAAAAAGTGAAAATGTGTAGTGGGGCTGTGAAAAGGGAAAAAAGAGAGAAAGAAGAGATGAAAATTATACCAACTGGGGAGTTGAATCAGAGAATGGAATCTAAACAGGCAGGCTCCAATTCATCTCCAGTGACAGAGATTTCCGACGAATATCTTGCACCAACAAACAAGAAAGTACAGGAGGATAAAACGGAATATGCTGAAGATAAAATGTTACATGCAGAAAAGACAAAAGAAATGAAAGTTTGCAGTGGGATCGTGAAAAGGGAAAAAAGAGAGAAAGAAGAGGAGAATTATATACCTACTGAGGAATTGAATCGAAGGGTGGAGGCTTATATTGGAAGAGTGAATAGACAGAGATTGCATGAAGCCGAATCATTATTGCGCAGTGGAATTGTGGTGTGTATTGGAATCAAAGAAAATGAATTACTTTAAAATAAATAGAAAGAAATAATTAAGAGGTTATTTACGTCATTTTATTAATGTTCAGTTTTATAAATCAA